AAAGAATTAGGATTTTAATTTTAAAGTATTGTAAAGCGCCATGGACAATTAGTGGAAAATGGCGCTATATAAATGTATATTTATTTTATTTATTTATTTCGGTTGACCGGAAAGATCAATGGACGAATTATTGCATGAACGGACGAAAGAACAAATAAAAGGAAAGCAAATAATCGAACAAATTGATATTTTGTACGTGCGTAATTTATATTTGTCACCTCTAAGAAAAACGTTCTGACCTCCACGTTTATGATACTTGGTGAACCAAAATCTGCTGAACTTAAAACCTTGACCAAAGGGCAACCTTAATTCCTGTCGCATGAAATGGAATAAATAAATTAGTTATGGATAGATACTAGCTATTACACTGTATGGCATAATTGATCCCTCGCTGATCCGTTCCAGTCGGAGTTGCTGGTAGACGTTCAGCTTCTGAAGAAAACTATCGGCCTTGTCGGTAAAACTCTGACGTTTTTATCCCTTTAAGCCCCGATTGTCCGATATGGTGCAAAATGCTATATTAAGTATGAAATTCGGTTATTTTTTATCGGATCTTCCGACGACAAAATGTTCTTTGAGAGATCTGCATAATGGAAGCACAAACTCATAACTCCTAAACCAACCCCTCAAGTTTTGTAACTTTTTATATCTTATGGTCAAGTGAAAACTATCTGATAAAATCCCACTCCAAGAGCTCCAAAGTAAGGTATTGTTTTGAGGTATACCCAAAATATGCTAAGGTAATTCATTAATTTGAAATGTGAGTTCAAACACACCCGCTCAACTCATCCCAGGTGAGAATTAGTCTTTACTTGCTATTAAGGCAAATGTTCTTGTTTTCTTACCTTGATAAGAAAGTTTCTGAGTTCTTCTTCGGAATTCATAAAAAACAAAGTGTCATCCTAAAATGAAATACAATAAAATGAATGATGGTAATTCATTCCAAGAGCATCTTTGTAGACTTACCAGTCAGCTGATCAAAACACAGTAATACACCATATGCAAATATGGCGGACTACTCACCACTGAAAAGAAAACTTTCTCTCCTGTGAAAGATTTCATTCCCTTCTGTTGGCATTGTCAAAACAAAACAGCGAGGCCCAACTAGTCTCGCTTTCATACAACTCGTCCCGGGCGACGACCGAGAGGTCCACCACATTTGCATAGGGTGTATGTAGTTGACTTGTCGTTGTTTCAAATAGTGAAGGTCTACTCTTAGCTAGAGCAACCGAAACATACGTCATATCACTCAGTATCAATACAAGACGTGTTTATTTCAGTTCATGATGTTATTTATAACTGATAGACGTGCTGCTTAGGTCTTTAGGCTACTAATATACATGCATGAGTTTCAGCTAAGTTAACTTCGTGGTCACTACGCTGGGTCAATACATGTATAAGAGAAATCTTCACCATTCATTCTATAACACAAGGATAACTTAATCATTCAAGCAGCAGATACCTACACACAAAAAAAGAGTTGAGCTTATACCATTAGCTACCAAAGTCTGCCATGATATACCGACTGAAATAATCTGAAATTCACGATTTAACACGATATGGTTCGTTTCGTCACGGGAAATTTTCAGTTCACCCGGCGATAAATACAAAAATATCACGGTACTAGAAAGAGTTTGAAATAAAAAGGTTAGAAACCGATAAAACAAGGCATTTGAAAATCGGCATGGCTGCTATAAATGTGACATTTTCAAGAGGAAATGAATCTCGTTCGAGATTGAACTGTTACCATGGTTACACTCGCTACTGGTTGTTCCTGCTCTTACCATATTTTGAAAAATTGCACGAAATGTAATGAGAACTAACAAAGAACTTATATGAACAATGATTTCTCGGTATGAGTTCACAGAAGAGTAAAAACTAGTACTCACAGCGATAAAGAAGAAGACCGTTCCCATTGAAGCTAATGTACAACTGTATGACTGTCTATTGACAAACATTGAAAACTTAACTTGAAATCAGTCTTGTCGATAGCCACTTTGAAAGGCACTTTGGTACCAGAAAAACAAGTAAGAAAGTGTAAATAGCTAACGGTACCAATAAAAAGGCCACGTTTATTACAATACCTAAAAATGAAATTTTCATTAACTAAGTAGACAACCGTCATCACAAGTAATGGACACTGAGCCTAAAAGACTAAATTCAGCGATCTATTTGGAATTGAGTTGATTCAAATGTGAAATATTCTAATCCTATTAATTCTTTCTTCAATTCAGAATGCTGGAGGCTCACATTTAAGGTTAACACTGATAGCACTTACAACAGCATATACACCGCTTAAGAGTGAATTTCTCTAATTGTCAAACATAGGGTGGCAGAAGTCGATGGAAAAATCAATTTTTCCTTTTTTGTCTATAGGAAGCTCTTAGGCAAATAGCATATTCCAGAGAAAGTATTTTCAATCAATCATAAATAATAATTTCAGTTACCTGCAAAAATTGCTCCTTGAAAAATGGTTTTAAGCTACCGAGTCTGAGTTCATCCAGGGCAGCAAAGGCCGACTGGTACTCGAAATCATCTGCGGAAGTTAACAAGACAAGTAATTTCAGCGAAAAAGTGAGGGATGGCCTGATATGCTATAAAATTTACTCATACTATGACAGAGTTTTGATCGAACGGAAGTTCTCGTCAATTGAACATTGTTAAAGTTTCCGAATCAAGCGCTTGGATTTCGAAAGGTAAATACTAAACTTCTACTTCACCAAAAATTTTCCAAAATTTTAAATTTTAACCTTTTTATGTATGATGTTTTAGTGAGAATTTTCTGAGTCTATTCCACCTCAACCAAATGCAAATGTTTCACAAAAACTGGGTTACCTGACTCTTGGTTCTTTGACTCCTACAATGAAAATAAAGTCACTCAGTTATTATTACACAAACGTGATATCAATTACTTCAAAATTATTAATAATGTTCTCGTGCGTTCAGGCAAGTGTAGGAGTTGAAAGTAATTTCCAAAGTAAGGGCACTTGGTCGAAGGATAAGTTAAGGAAGTTACCTATTTTTGAACACCTCCCGCTATCTTCATTGACGAGAAAAGATCCAGCGGCGAAATACTAGTTTCTTCGGTAATTAAAATTCAATGCACTTAATTTGTCTAAATTTCAAGAGTTTGCACTTTTAAAAACAACAAAGCAATTAAATGCTTTTGTGTTTTGGCGACAAAACATTTAGTCTTCATTGGAAATAATGAATTTTAGTCCAACTTTGACTGAGTGACAAGGCTACTGGCTTTGGGATTTACTTCCTAAAAGACCCTAAGAAAATTCATCCATCCGTCTGTTCATATCTGCGTATTACTGTTATGAATTATTGTATACATGTTGTCATAGTGATGTGCGCTGCGGTACTTTATGCAATGGCAGCATGGAGGAAGGAGGGTTTTTGTGAAAAGTGCGTTTTACCTGGACAAAAGATGGAGAAAGAGACCAGTGTAATATAATTAAACCCCAGAACAAGAACTAAGTCGAAGACATTGTGTGCACTCACGGAAATTGTAAAGTAGGTTACATCACATGTGTTCACGAGCTTGCGATTGCACTCAGCGGTATAATTATGTAATGTATAAATTATGTATGCTTCGTTAGGAGCTCGTGTTTTTGTGTTGTACGTTAGTATGAGATTAGCTGATTAAAGCCTCGAGTTTAGCAGGCAATTGTCTTCTCCGCTTCACAACAACTAGAAAGCAGAAAGAAGGCCGGTGGGATAGAGTGAGACGAAAGTAAATGCATCCAGCCTGCAACAATGACGAAACCCTCGTCTTGATTCTTGGCTAAATACGATGCCCTTAAATTTCTTTTAAAAATGTATAGAAACGTTCACTGACTATATAGAGTTAAAACTTTCGGGCTTTTGGCTGCCAGAGTACAGCCTATTTTTTTTCGTTATCCATCGAAGGCTGTAGTCTGACAGCCGAAAGCCCGAAGTTTTAACTCTACATAGTCAGTGAACGATTTTATAAATTTTTAATATGTTTCATTTTAACCCGAATTTCATTTTGACCTACGACATATACACCTACCATGTTAGTTAACTGCTCTTCATTAATGGTACCACGCTGATAGCAGAACCGGTTTATAATCAAATTATTTGTTTTTTATTCAGAGATACAAGCTAAAATTGAAAGTAACATGACAAGGTGTGTTGGGAGGCTTTCGTCAGACTAAGAATTTAATCTTACCCTTTGATGCTTGATCAGCCAGGATATGAACAGTTTTAAAGATGAACTGTTTAGATGATGCAGTCGTGACATTGTTTGAAATACGGCAACAACAATTCTTTGAGGTTATTGAAAAAGTATATTAAGTACAAGATGTAAACAGACATTGTGTCATTTCATAATACATCTTCATTTACAATTTGACATCAATGGCCAATAGCCAGAACCTATATTACCACTACCAATGCCAGGCAGATTTTGATAAAATGCTTCTATAAAAAACTCTTGCAAATATGAATAAAAATCATTTGAACTTCATTGAAGTTTTGCACCAACTTCCCAATCCTCCCAAAAAATTATAGATGTTAAGCTAGCTGTATGCCTACAAATACAGTTTTAGAATAAAACATTTCAATATGACTTACAGTGTACAGTCATGAAAATAATATAAAACAAACAAACCTGGCAACATGGCAGAAAACCATTATTGCCTCATGAGCTTCCACTGGGATAGAACAGGACCTAAATAATTCACAGACCAAAAATAGCAGTTCCTCATATCTCGTCACTAAAGTCAACTAAACGGATGAAAAAGGCAGAGAAATTATTTGAAAGAACTACCGCGTACTGTGACATCAGAATCAGTACTGCAGTACAAACAAATAACACCTTCGATGCGGTAAAACTGAAATGCTTTTGACGTGCAATTGATAACTTTCAAGAACGTGTCGTCTTAAATAGGGTTTTCCTTGTTCTAGGAGAACACAGAATTAAACCTCTTGTGAGCAAGAAATAAAATTTTTCAAAGAGAGTTGAAAAATGTGAGACGTGAATGCTCAACCCGACATGTGTGACCTCAATAGCACAGCCGTTAAACAGTAAAAAAAAGAGGAAATTTTCGTTCAGAGGAAACGGCAGAAATCTGCTGGTGCATACTGGTGCATTATGTTCTCCGCGCAGGAAAATATCTAAGCTCTTGATTCATTGTACTTTTAGGCCAAGCACCAGTACCTGAAAGTCGTGAGCGACCGAAAGTTTCGACCTACAAAAATGAGGGAATTTTACCTTGTTCGAGAAATACCATAAGTTACCTTGACAAGCTCTAAATGTAAGAACTTCAATACCAAAATCTAACTTGGCTACTCTCAATTCAAACTTTCCAAATATAACATTTGGTATAGAAAAGGTGAGCGAATGTAAACCGTGTAGGCAGGCCTGAGTAACAAATGGTTTCTTAAAATTGAACTGTTTCATTTTGCAAATATCACAACTCACTCTTGAATGGAAGAAGGCTTTTATTAACGGGCTTGTTCGAAAGCGAGGCTGCCCTCACATCACAAGTAGTTCCTTAATGAGCAATGCCTCATTACACCCTTTCATAATCGATTTTCCAAGTTCAGTGGCTCACAACCACTTTGATTAAATTAACTTTCCTCTAAGTTTAGTAAGAATGGACAGTTAAACTTTCAGATAGAGGTTCGAATGATGAGGGAAATGATGCAGTATCGTTCAAAGAACAGAATGCAATGCAACGGTAGTCAAGCGCGCAGAGTATCAACAAATAGAGAAATTTACATTTAATGCAGACAGAAAATAAACAATTGCACGATTCCATTTTGTCGTTACTGAACAATCATTTTGATACAGAAGGTGACAATGATTTTCGCAACTGTGCGAGAATCGGTGGTGGTTTTAGGTGTTTAAACAATCTCAAGCAATCTTTGCTGTTTAATTTAATATGGCGAATAAAATTGTTTGCCCTTGAGTGCAGCTGAGCTATCTTATTTGGAATGGTTCAAACGACAAGAATTCTAAGAAACCCTTATAAACGAAATCCTAATTCCTTGAAATCCGTTGTTATTGTGATTTTCAAAAACTCACCATGTCTTAAGCCAAAATATCACGCCATCAGCCCATGGTATTTTCTCTTTCATCCGTCATTTTCTTGAAGCCTAACGCGGCCGTCGCTGAGTAATAACTTTGCCTTGACCCATCGGTTGCATCAGCAATTAGTTATCAGACTTTTTCTGGTGGGGTATTCCCCGTTCTCTTAATATGGGACTGACAGACTAATGATGTCACCAGTAACCAATCGGAATGTTCTTAATTTTAGTCTTCTCGGAAAACCGGTCTGAGGTTCACTACAAAATGATTTAGTCACGCGTGATTTGAAACACAATCTCATCTACATGCCACGAAAGGATAACCGTAAGCACAGAACAGCCTCGAGATATAAAGCATCAGTTTCTCGCTATATAGTTCACTCTATCATGATTGGGAATGTTAGCCTTAAGATATTGGTAGGCAGGTTAAGAATCAGTAAAATTTAAGTTTCCACTAACCGCACATTTCCGTCTTGAAAACCCTGTTTAATTTGCCAGACAGTTTACGAACTCAGGACATCCACAAGTCAGATTATATGAATTTTGAGTACTTCAAAATCATTGTATCGCGTATAAACTATGGGAATTTATTTGATATATGACTGTTTTAACTCAATTTATTGTATACTCGGTGACAAACCACTTTTAGTGAGATTCCACTTCTTTTCGAGAACCTTCTGGCACAGAATATACCAGAGGGGTCTCGAATAGTATCGTGTTTCTTATTGGTTCATGCCGATTACGTCATAACACGGCAATGCATTAAGCCTTAAAATGAGGAGCGTTGTTGAAACTCCAATCTCAATGCAAGTCCCTGAAAGGAACTAATGAAATTGCACTCAGCGTTTATTAACAGTAGTTCATCAAAATGGCAAGTTTGCACATTACACAAAATGGTTTTCTCTTATGATTTTCATTATTTTGTAAGACAGCAGTACAACTATACCGTAAGGTTCCAAACGATACGCGTTTGTTTGCTGGGTGACTTCATTAATTTTGGCGGGCACAGAAATACGTCTTGAAGCAACTCCATGTGACTGAAGTGTATCAATCAAACTAATGCACAACTCGACAAAATAACTGCAGTCTCTCTCAAACGATCTACTCATGCGATCTTCGTGACTTCAGTGACTTGATACTCGAAAACATTTTAATGGTTTGGGTCTACGGATTGCATTTTTGACCTTCGTGTATATTCGCAGGAACCTGCAAATGAATAGTAGAAAGCAAAGCCCGACGCGGGGCCACGAGAGACTCGATTTTAATTAAGTGATTTACTCTTGAAATAAGCTGCTATGAAAGTTAAATTGTTTCAGTTCAAAGCTGCATTTTGAAAACGAAATTAGAGGACGTTTCGACTTGGATAGTCGACCGTAACATTAAGAAGTAAAACAACGTAACTATTGTTCTCAACCTCGCTCCCAGGCTCTCTCTCCTCTCATTTATTTTCGGACCGTAGGTCTTTTCAGATCCGATACGCTGCGTTTTTTTAAGCATGGTACTGGCCATGCGGTTGAATGTTTAAATGTTTAGGCGTGCCTTGTCCAGCCACATTTATTCTTTTGCTTTTCGAGACACCAATCTTGACACTTTGTCTCCTTGCGCCC